AAGAAATAGGGAGAGGCAAGAAGCATTGCTGACCATGGAGCATAAAACCTTGCTCCCGTCCTGTTTTCCAGGTCCTTCAAGCCTGACTTTGCTCTGATCCGGCAGCACGCCTACAGCATGGCGCTAGGAGAGGACTTCCGCAGCCTCATCATTGGCCTCCAGTACGGTGGCGTCCACACGGTCAACTCCCTCTACTCCATCTACAACTTCTGCAGCAAGCCCTGGGTGGTAAGTGGCCATCTAGCCCTACTGCATGTCGATGCTGCAAAGTAAAAATCTAGCATCAACGAAGTACCAAATTCACTTTCCCCCTTTTTTTTTTTTTTTTTTAAGAAATCCACCTCTTTAAGCTAAAGCCATACCTCAACAACGTATCCAGTTGGGAATTCTTAAACAAAACAAAAAGCTATCCACATTTCTCCTTTATCAGCCTCTAGAAATAGCACGGTGTTATTTACTCGCCTTGAGTAGAAAGCTTTGTTCTGTCTCAGATTTCCACCGGTGGCAGAAAGTCAGTAATATTTCGATTTGTTGCATGGCAGAGTAGGTTGTTTGACAGAATATGGCTGGTATGACAAAATAGCCGAGTCAGTTTTTGGTAGCAGTGCAAGACAGCCTCCTCCACCTGTTCTGTAAATTTTGGCAAGTTCATTTGGAAGTCTCAGGAAATCTGGAAACCTGTTGGCATTGGCTTACCTCAGCCCTAAACAAAAGTTTGTAATAATTCCCTGGACTTGTTTTATGATGAGCTTTAAGTCGGCAGGAACTGAAGAAGCAGGAGAGCCAGAGGATAAGGCTCGCCATCATAGGACCTGCAGGAACAAATCAGATGTCAACATCATTTCAGAGCCTTCCAAGCAGTTTCATCCCAGAGCACCCTCCCTGGTCACTGATCCTTCCAGAATGCAAGTTTCCCCTGCACTGTTCTAGGAATGAAGCAGGGAACTACAAGCTAAACAGAAGTGACAAGGACAAAGGACATTCCCATGAGAAGATATCTCCCCCACTGGAAAATTTTAAGATACTCCTTTAGGAATTTTCCTTTCTCATTTCACAAATATAGCCTTGGTTGAGAAGTAACATTTCTAATAAGAGGTAACCATTTTCCTTGTTACTTTAATAAGTCTTTTCTTGATTTCTTGGAATAAATATCCTCTAAGTCTCCAGAGTGTTCATTGGTTGTTTTAGTACTGCTAAGGTCTGTAATGATTCAGTCTTTTTTTTTTTTTCATGACTATGCAGTGCTGAATTTAACCCGTTTCCTACTGAAAAGCATTATATTCATCGTTGTCTTAGTTTTCACCCATTTTATGGCATTTGGAGTTTTCACCAAAGATATAGTATTGCGTAAGGTCAAGATTTAGCAAAGAGGAAGCAGAGATTTGGGATTCTAAGTCCTGGCTATGCAGCCTGATTTTCCAAAGTGTTATGTGGCCTACAGGTCACTGAGCTGAGTCTAGCAAACTCCATTTTGTGGAAGGAACCTGTGGATCTGCCTGCATGTAGAATTGAAGGCTAAGCAGTTTCCAGTCTCTCAGAATTTCTGCAATGTCAATCATTTCCAGAATCCTAGGAGCTTTTCAAAACCAGGACTATTTTTCCTCTCCATTTGGTTCAATGATTACAAGCATTTCTCATTATTGCTATTAATTTGACTTCCCAACTAGATAGATTTAAAGCTCTCATTACCTCTCAGAGACCAAAGATGGTGCCAATCATGGTGCTCTTCGGTGCTTATACCTGCATAGCAAGCCCTGGAGAAAGCATGCAGGTGATCAGAATGCAAGACTGCATCCTGGCCTTGCAAAAGTATTGCAGAGCACTAATACACTGGGCAATGCCAGTCCTCTCCTCCAAGAAAAATCTCTTTTCCTTCTCTCTATGGGTAGTAAGTTTGTCCTCAGTCCACAAACTAGCGTTCTGGGAATGGAAAGGGGAGGAAGAGGGCAATCAGCACAAGGTTTGCTGCTAGATTTTGTCTTTGTTTTCTGCAGACTGAGTTGACCTCAGTGACCAGACAAAAAGTCTCTGCCTATACACTGACTTTTACTGAGGAAAACTGTCATGTGGTATCTTCCATCTGATTTGGGAATTGAGTCTGTCACTGTTTAGTTGAGTTTTTTCAAATCATTCCTTGTAATTATGGTTGTGCTGGTGTGCAGTGGCCTCCTCAAGATGTGACAGGCTTATTTTTAGGAATCTAAAATAAAGGAAAACAAACAAACTCAGCACATTGTAAAAAAAGACCAGGGCTGGCAAGGTAGTGTGGGAGAACTTGGCTCTGCCAGGAACTCATCTTTAGCTATTCTGGGTCTGATTCTGCCATGTTTTACTCATGGGGAATATGGCTGACTCAGACAGCCTTCCCAGAAAAGTCGAAGAAATGACTTGTAAACATTTCAAACGGGTTTACAGAGTGCATCTTCTCCCTTTTGCTCCCGCATGCACATTACTCTCCACCCCCAAATAGAAAGGGTGTAACTAATTACCCAATCTAAGACCTGAAATGGGATCTGAGCTGGTATTTGGCACCACAGAAGTTTTATTAGGTTGAAGTGAATTCAGGCAGAGATTGCAGTGAGACCTCTAAGGAAGGCAGAAAGCTTCCCTGAGAGCAGAACCGGAAGAGTTTGTGATAGCTGGAAAATGAGAGATAGGGACAGACCATTTTACTTTAATGCATGTTCCATTTTGATTGCAAAACAGGCATGAGAGATATGTTTAACAAAGATTACTGGAAACTTTTTGGTCCTATGAAATTGTTGAGATACACTAAGAAATGAAATTAGATCCTCTTGGGAAATGCACTTTCCACTTTTCCTTTTTTTTTTTTTTGACAAAGATGGTTCCTTTTCTTTGAAATGTTTATGATTTGGTGGAAGAAGATGGAATGGAGACTGTTTTTTCTTGGCAATTTGCAATGATGTTTTCTCAGCAACTGTAATTACAATCAGCTGAGTTTGGGCTTGAGTTTACTCAAATAAGCAGACCCCTGTTTAATGACATTTTCCAGATTTCCAGTGCTGCAATAGACATATCTTCAAATATTAAAATCTGCATTAAAGCAACATGGACAGTTTTAAACAGAAATTACTGGGAAAAAAAAAAAGACATATTCAGGGGGATCTCACACACAGAGAAGTGGAATCTAAGATGATCACAGAAATATGGAGATATAGTGCTACAAGCACACAAGAACCAATGCTTTAACCAGTCAGAATAATTTTGTTATAAAGGTTACAGTACAAAATACTGTAGAAACAATGCTGATACTAGTACTCATATTACATTCAGTAATGTCCACAACTGAAAGACACATTTTGCATCTGTAAGACTGCAGTAAATATGAAGCCTTGAAAATCAGAGTCTTCTTCAGAGCCCAGGAGAATCCCAGCCAAAGTACCATTGACTATGAAGTAGTATCTACTTCCTGGTAGCCTAGATGACTTAGAGATGTGCACCATAGGCCTTGAGATCCATTCAGTAGACCTTTTTTTTTTTCCTCTGTAAAGACTCCCTAACAATCTGATGTCGAAGAGATCAAACCAACTTAAGCAAGACAATGCTCTTGCATACCTGCTCCAGGTGCATCAAACCCAGATTGTGCCACATGGTCTTGCCCAGAGCAGCTCTGTGGTCTGCATTCAGTCTCGCTTATATCAGCGGGACCAAAAATAAGTATTCCTAGCAAAGCATGGAAGAAAGTGAGGTACGTCTAGTTGAGCTGCTGACAGTGACATTCCTACCCATGTAAAATACACCAGGATGACCATTGGGCTCTTTTAATAGGTGTCTAAAAGGCTATTTTAACACACAATATGGGTGTCTCTTAGCCAATATCCTGCCCTTACTGATCATATCCACCCTGCAAAAAAGAAGGGAGCTGACCCATGAGGGTCAATATCAAAGTGAGAACTTTTTGCAGGCCTGACCCACTGAGGAGACCCTCAGCTGGTTCAGTCCCCTCACCTGTTTGTCTGAAATGCTTGTTATTTCAGACACAGCCAAGAGCTACATGCTTCAAAAGGAAGCCCAAGGAACCAGTCAAGATGCCATTTGTCAACTGCACAGTTGTTCCAGTTATTTTATTTTCACTGCTTCCCTAGGATTGCATGGATGTCACCTCATTGCCACGGCATCCACGGCTCGCCAGGGTTGTGTGCACATGCAGCAGGCAGCATGTGCTGCTCTCAGCCAGGGTGTTTTTCTTCCTCTCCCTGTCTCTGTCTCATTCTGTTTAAGTCCTGTTTGCTCGCTTTGCTAGTCAAAACAGGGCTTTATTTTTCTTCTCTAGGATGTGCAGAGCTAGTGCAAGTAGTTAAGAGAAGCAACTTCCCCAATATCAACACCCTCCATGCCAACAATAATTATTCTACATGGGGAGTTTTTCTCTTATCTGTTGATGCATGTGAGGGAGTGCCGGTGTTAGTGATGGGACACGACAGATCTTGATCATTTCTGGACTTTTTTAATGCCACGTCTTGACCCGTGAGATTAAGAAGAGGATTCTTCACATTTGTCTGCAAATCTGCTGGCAGCTGCCCCTTCAACATGTGTCTGGCACACACCCTGAAACCTGATTTTTTTTAGGCTCTGTCTGAATTTTTTACACATATCACCCTTTAATATCTGAGGGAATATTTCTCTACCAACAAGAGAAGATTCAGTATCATATGCAGAAATTCTTTTGCGTAGAGTAGTCTAGTGGCTGTGATAGGAGCCCTAACATAGGTACTCAGCAGAAAACCTTCTTAGTAGTCTTCTCCTTAATTTGCAGTGTAACCTTGGGGCTGCAATTTGGTAGTTTCACTGTCCTCAGTCAGGGTTCAGGAATGTTTAGAAAATATAACATTAGGTAGCTCATGTTGTTCGGGAGAAAAAGGGTTTTCTTTCCAGCACCTTGCTCACCAAATGTCTACCTCCTTCCCTTACCTGTGTGAGCTCCCTCATCATGAAAGCATCCCTAGGGTTACTGGAGAACTTGAACTCTTGCAAAAAGAACTGCACAGTGAGACGGGACCCAAGCTGGAGGCATTTCATGAATTCAGAATGGCTTACCAAACTTCTAGGTATTGTTTTATTTTCTGTTCAAAGGGCTTGCAAATTAGGTTCAGTTTGTAAATGATTTTGCAAATAGGATATCAGTGGGGAGTTCAGTCACATATACCAGCTCAGCAGGAGCCAAGATTCTTGCTTCTTTTGGAGAAATACACAGTCATTATAGTCTCCTAACACTCATTAAAATAATTGAACTGCAGTATTCATCCGTATTTCCCTTTCTGCAAGACTGCCAATCTAACCACATCACTGCCGCTTCAGCATTGCCTATGGTAATGGGGAAGAAAGCAGGGTGGCTTGATGTGTGATTCTAAATGCTCTTAAATCTCTCCTGAGTTCTCTGACTAGGCATGACCCTGAATAATAAGCAAATAATAAGAGTGATAACAGTGGTGATAATAGCAAAGTTCATTGTTATCCTTGTGCGTGAAACACTGGAGCTCTTGCTTTCCCTGCAGATGTTATACGTTGCTTTCTCTGGACATCATTTTCACAGAATGGTGCAGGCCTCAGATTCACTGGTAAATGGGGTCGGGAGAGGAGATGATCTCCCCTGTCCCCTGCCCTGTGTGGAGGGCTGCTCTTCTGAAAAGGGCCCACCAGCCAACCATATGTGGAAAGCAAAGCTTGTTCACAGCAGATCTTTAACTGAATCCAAACTGATCTTCATCTCTTTAATCCCTCCTCTGCTCTCACAGTCCAAGATTTGTGTGCTCCGCCTGGCTTGGGCCTGGATATCTAGATCAAGCTGATATTTTTTTTACTACTGCCAACTCTAAGTATCAATGATGTGGGCAATAATTGCAGTTTTCTCACTTCCTTCACCAGTATGAGAACATTTTGCAAGCACTTAACTATCACGCAGCAGGCCACTGATATCCTCTGTGTCTGTTTTTTCTTCCCCTCCCTTTCTCTCCCCTCCTCCCCAAGTTCTCTCAGCTCATTAAAATCTTCAACTCGCTGGGTCCTGAGAAGTTCCCCCTCGTGGAGCAAACATTCTTCCCAAGCCATAAGCAGATGGTGAGTACCCTCTCCTTTTTCTGTTTCCAAAGTGTAATAAGGAGCAGGGGGGGAGCCATGAATATGAGTTGGGCATGAGAGATGGCAGTGGGGACACTGGGGCTAGCCTCAGTTTTACTCAAAGAGGAATATCAGCTAAAAAGTGATAAGCAAAAACACCATTTAAGAAGCGTTTTTCCTTATTCCCTAGCCTTTCCTAAGCTCGCGTATGGACCCTCCACAAAGTGAAAATGAGAGCAGTCTCAAAAAAAAAGACAAAAGTCCATTGTAAAATATGGTCAACGAAAGCTCATCCCTTAAAGTAAGGAAAGTGAAAATGAGAGCAGTCTCAAAAAAAAGACAAAAGTCCATTGTAAAATATGGTCAACAAAAGCTCATCCCTTAAAGTAAGGAATCTCTTTATTAAGATAAAGTGTATTTCTCCTCACTCCCCCGCACTGTCATTGTTGACCAGGCACTGAAGATTCAAGATGTGGGCTGTAAAAGATGCTTGTTTGACAGTATCCAGTTACTTGATCTGTTATGTGGTTGTCATCCATGAAAAATGTCTATCAATCAGCCTCATTGGCTTATCAGTGTAAACTGCAGTTTTTGAGAAAGAAGATGTCTCACCTTGCGACACTTCCTTTGCCTAGTCGCTCTGGGGCGTCTAGTCTTCCTGTCAATGACCAAACACCTATTTGCTTGCATGGTTACAGTGCAATTACTGTACTGACCTCTTAGGACACCTTCCAAAGAGATCCATGTAGTTTCCTACGGGATATTTGCCTTTAGTCCTGGAGAAAAAGTCAAAGTGAGTGGCTTTAAAACTGTTCGTGTCTTTTGTTTTCCTGGATTGATGAAAAGTCCGCTGTGAACTTTTGGTCCCAATTTACACATATGAATTTCTGGTTCGTCTTAGTTGGCTGTGGCTTTGATAAGATCCCCTGCATGTGAACCATGACCCATATGGGAGTCCTCAGCTGTTTGAGCTTGTTTTCTATGGTTTGCTCCATGGTCATGGCCTCAAGGTGCAGGCCTGGAGGCCTAAGAGAGTTGTGATGTCAACCCTGGGTTCAGAAGTGTTTTAAGTCCCTCTTTTCCCACAAACTTCTTGCCACACTGTGGGCCAATTCTGATGCCTAATCAGAACTAAGCACTTAATAGAGCTTCAAAATTCTAAGAGAAGACTACCTTAGACTCTTGTGAAAAATCCCACAAATGCTCATTTTCACTCCAGGCACCCAAATACCTTGAAATGCTAGTCCTCTCTTATCCAACCCTCTGTTCTCTCCACCTGTGCTGTGGGGACCTGGGCACTTCCACACTTCACAGGCTTGTCATGCAGGTAAGTACAGTCATGCTGTGAAGTGTATCAGCAATTCAGGGGTAAGAGCTGCACTTGCCTTTTAAGACAAATAAACAAATAGATGCTTCTTACACACCAGCCTAGAGTTTGCTCCAGATTTTTAAGGCAAATCAGTTGATACATTCAGTTTCACTAATTTCCTCTAATCGATAAAGAGGGCTTTGTTACATGTGTAATGCTTCAGGACAGTTGCAAGCTTGTTTAACCACCACTTTGGGAAGGGTGGCTTTGGAAGATTTGAATAATCTTCTCAATGCAAATATTTCATCTAGGAATATGGCATTGTTTTCCTGTCTGGAAATAATCTATTGAACGATTCCTCTGCATGTAGGTATGTTCGTTACAAGTGCAGTAGTTTGGTTTAGCACACAAGCAATTCTTAATTTCATATATTTGTCTTCTTTGTAACAGTTATTACTCACCATTTATTATAAATAACTGCTCAACAGTTATTTATAGCAGTTGTTCACCTACTTGTGGTTGCTATTGCTCTTATTTCCAGGAGAATAAAGAAACCTTTATAAACTGTACATAATCTCATTTGAACACAGACACTGCTGTCATGCAAGCTTGAGTAATGTGTTGTAAATCAGTCACTTTCCAAACATTTTCTTAAGCAATAATCAATTTAGTCATTTTCAGACTTGTCCTTTTTAGACTGGGGTGGAGGTGGGGTGGGCATCTGCTTCTTTCTGGTGACTGAGGAAAAAGGAATGAAACCTTGAGATCCTTTCTAGCTGTATTTTCATGCTACCCTGTCCTAAGGAGACTAAGAGAGGGCAAGTATTTGCCAACCAAGCTGGGTTCTACTCATAGCTCTACAAAAGGCTTCTGAAAGTTGCTTGCCTGCTGTCAATCAGCACCATGTATCGAACAGGAATAATGACAGTACCCCTTCCTCACTCTTTCTCTTTCCTAGGGGTGTTTTCATGCCATACCAGTTAGCACTTGTAAAAAATGTTGTGGCAAACACCTTGGAAATGTTTTTTAACAAAGTTTTGTGGTTTTATCTCTGCAACATAATATACTCTTAAGCAATGATGTTCTCACAAAAGAAACTCTCACCCTTTTAAGCCAAAACTTTCCAAACTTTACTTTCTAAATTTTAGGATTAAATACAGAACTGATTAAAATTTAATTTCATTCTTTATCAATATTCTGCACAGGGATGAAAGCTTTTCCTAAAGTGAGACAAATATTTTGTAAAACTATTCTCATGAGCATTTGGATTCAGTTGAAAACACATTCTCTGATGCTTCCTTCCCATGACAATAGGACATTTTAAAATAGCCATAACTAGCAGAAAGGATCTGAAAGATGAATCTCAATGTCTTTTGCTATGCAGATATACTTTTCAACCCGCTCCCCAGTGGTAAGTTTACTGAAAATAAAAGCAATCTGGCAACTGTTCTTGCAAGGCTTTCCTGGTGCTTCAAGAGCTGGCCATAAGACTGTCTTGCTCTGTAGTGATCCCCTACAGCCAATTTTCAAGTGGCATGCATGAACCTTTAAAGTGATTTTTATCTCTTTTGGGTTTATGACCCTGATAACAGATCTTCAAGATCTTCTACAGCTCTGTCAACCTTATAAAAAATAGGGAGGGACTCCTGGATGGATGTTGTTACCAAAGAGCAGGAACTGCCGGGAGTGGAATGTCTGCATTGGGCCCAATAAAAGAGTTATCAAGAAAGGGAAGGAAATGAATAAATCCACTTGCAGATCCATTTGTGTTCATTTGAAGTGCACGGAAACTAATAAAAGTGAAGCAGAGACAGAATGTCTGTGATAGAAATAAAACCACTTTACTGTTTAGAATAAAAGGACACTATAAAAAGTGAACATTATGCAACATTACCTTAAAAGACAATATACATTCACTGAATATAAAATTTATAAATAACAAGGAGGAAAACTGTAAACAGTGCTACAAAATTTAGCAAATACATTCCTTTTGCACAAGATTTTTCACATGGGTTTGGCTCCCTCCCCAAATTTCTGTGACTATCAGGAACAGCAGAAGCTCTAAGAATGAAAGAAAACCTCAGAGAGAATCAGAAACCAGAACAGGCAAAGCAGCAACAAATTCTTGGTAGTTTTGTTTGTCTTTTCCTTTAACTTTTTGTCAAGGCCGATTACACAAAAAAAAAAGAAAAAAAATTGCTTGAAAGACACATTAAAACACATTAAAATGTTTGTTGCAGTTCCCTATTTTTTGTCCTGCCTTTCTAAGCTACAAATGACATTGCAAAGGAGAGATAGTTTGAACATCCTCTAAAAAAAAAGGGGGGGGAACTTGTTCCCATAGAGGCCTTCACTTTGAAACTTTTTATAAAAACATAATGATGTATTTACCATCACCCTGGGTTATCTTTTGCTCCAACCGGTAAGAATGGGAAAGGGTGGTATGCTCAGGCTTCAGAATAGTTTTCTCTAAAGGATCAAGTGACTCTTCAATACAAGGGATTTTTAAGTCTAAAACTGCAGTTTTGTCCCACCATCCTCCTATAAGGAAAGATCACTGTGCCCAAGTCACTCAAGAGGACTTTATTCAAGGTATGCCATGCACAGATGTCTTCCTTCTCTTTTCCCCCTCCCTTTTTTAGAAAAAAAAATAAAATCAGTAATGTCTAGGTTCTCCCAAACCTTTTAAGTATTTTTCATATTTTTCTAATTCTTGAAGGGAAAACACTCAAACAAATAAGGAAGATATCCATAAATAAAAAAGGAACAGTACAGAAATATGGCATATGCATTTTAAAAAGTACTTTTAATAAAGCTGATACATCTAAAGCGTAAGAAAAAAAAAGTCCCCATCCTGTACATGCCCTCGCACACATGTGCCATTGAGAGCTCCTCTTTAACCTTAGGTTATGGGGTGAAGGGAAGAGCATGTTAGAGCTGACAGGAAGGTCCTTGTGCTCCGCAAGCCCCTTGCATCCTCCAGAGCCTGCCAGTCTGGGGGAGCTTCTTACCTGCCCTCTTCACATCCCCGTATCTGGCGTGCCCACAGACTGCACGGCCTCTTCTAGCGAGGGGGGAGTTTTGTTCATTGGCAGGTGGAAGTGACTTAGCAGGGCAGGAGAAAACAGAGCAGATATAGATAGAAAGAAGTCTTCAAGTTCAATTTAGAGCCTGCTCGATCCATTTAATGGCATCCCCTGCTTTAAGGGGACCTTCATGCAAGGTTCTTGGTGCAAGCACAAGCTAAGGCTTAGCCAAGAAATACGTGTCCCTGATAGCACGCACAGAAACAAAGTTAAGAAGCCTCCCCAAAGAAATGTATTTTTACTGGATTCTTCCCCCTTCTTTTGGCTCCACATTTCTAAAAGCCTTAACAACTGATTCTTTACACAGCAAGGGAAAAGATTTGCTATCAAACCCTTACTCTTGCCAGTCGTCTAGCTGTTAGCATCTCAGAAATATTTTACCCTCTACAATATAAAATGGGAATTTGCTTCAGGAAAAAAATTCTGGTAATGGGGTTGGTGTTTTCTTGTTTACAAAGCACACAGCTACATTATATCCTACATAGGGACACAAGTCCTCATAGCATTAAAATGCAAATATTTTCACAATAATTTGAGTGCAATACTGTGATGTCTCAGCTAGCTAAAAGAGTCAGTGAGCAGGTAAAATACGCAGAGCTGCAATA